CCATGACAGTGAACAGTATAGAATCTTGGCTATTGCGCTGCAGTAATTAATCATTTAATATTAATTTGTTATTGACATTTTATAAAATTCCAAGGCCAGTTTTTTCTCTTGTCTTTCACTTACCTTGTTTTCCACTAGGGGGCGCCTCGCCTATTTAAGAAGAAATGTGTCTGCACTGGTAATACATTAATTAAAATGCCCACATGTTCTACTGGATAGGAGTGTCAGTGTAGTTAAAAATGTGATCCATCATACGACCTGTACCACAATTATGGGTGTTTCAGTTGTTCTCTTTATTTTTCAGCAGTCACAAGAGAAACGTGCTGCACAGTTTAAAAACATGGAACACAACAGTACTATACAACAAACTATAACAAACAGTACACACTAATACACACAGTATGATTTACTCTAAAGGGGAAAAAGTGAATGCTACAGCACCTTTGTGTGTAAACACAACACTCACAGGTGCAGTAGCCTTCACTTTTCCCCCCTTCAGAATAAATTATAATATCAGTGAGGTCCAGTAATGGATGCGTATGCTGTAAAAGCACACAGTTCATTGGTGTAAGCATATTAGTAAAACCAATAATAGTAAAACTAGCGAACGTACAAAAGTGCATAGCAATGTCAGGCTCATACCTTGGGCGAGCATCACTCCGGTGTGGTCCTCAGGAAAGTACACGGTCTGTAGACACCGAGCGCGGAGGGTCCAGTCCGTGATAAGGATGGTGAGACTCATATAAGGCTGTGTTGCTCTACTCATCCACATGTCCGTAGTCAACGCATAATGCGTCGCACCACTGCGTACCTCTCTCTCCACTTCAGCCCGACAACTAGCATATAAGCCAGGCAGCTCCGCTTTAACGGTAAAATCTTCTTGGGTGTCCATCATTAATTTTTTTTCAAGCCAGAAAGAAATTTCACGGGCTCTCTCCATCAGTAATGTCGCAAACGTATGGTGCAAAGCCGCGTGACGTAAAGCGGTGTAGTGTCGCAAAACCACGTTCTCTACACATTATCTTTTTATTCTCTTTTTTTTTTCGTTATATACACTTAGAGTTTGCATAGCAAAAACGCAAAATGTTATATTAACAGATTATATTACAATGTATATTAGCAGTAATAATAATAATAAAGAAGTTTATCACGATAGAAAAAATAGAGGAGAAAGGTCACGATAGACATGTTTCTCTCGTCCTCACGATATATATCGCCATATCGCCCAGCTCTAGCTCCAGCCCCATTTAGCAACCAGGTGTACCTTCAAGTAGCAGCAATACAAATATTAGCCTGAGTATGAAGGGATAGGAAGTCAGTCACAGTGAATGAGCGAAGTAGTTAAGCAGAACTGATGCTTTCTACTGTTTTCATTAGCATTGGCAGCTGTGGTGACAAAGGCACATTGCAGCATTTTTATGAGGACTAAACAAACTTATTTGATGCAGGTTAGAGGGGTGAGTTAAAGGTACCCGTATTTTCACGACCATAAGGCGCAGTCTCAGTTATGTGTGCCATTTCTGTATTTAACACACACATAAGGCGCACCAGACTATAGGGCGCGTTTTTTTATATACAGGTACATGTCCTCTACTACCTTTAAATACCTCTACTGTGTATTTAAAAATAGAGTGGGAGCAAAACTGAGTATGACTGTGCTTTATTCATGTATTTATTACAAAGTATTAATCAAACCTGGCAGCTGGCCGTGAGACATTCCTATTGTCGGCGCACCTCTGGTATGTGGGGGTCTGAGCGGCACCGACAGAACTAATATTAGAAGGCAGGATGATAATCTGGATGAAATGACTGCAGTGATTAAGTTTTCAGGTGGATTTTCTCACTTAAAAACATATTAAAACTACTTTATTCCCACTGATCACAGCAAATATAGCTGCAAGGTGTATTTATTACAAAGTATTATTCAAACCTGGGAGCCGGCCGTGAGCGACACATCGCTGATGACACAGGGCTGTGATCACTCCTCTGAAACGGTTTATTGACGCATAAATTAACTTAAAATCCTGAAACCTGCCGACAGAATATGTTCGCTTTTATTATCCTGGTGCGTGCAGTTTAGATTATTTAGATGAAAAACACCTACCAGCCGCCGCGGTGAACCCGGAGGCGACCCGGCCCAGAGGCAGCTGTTGAATTAAGTTTTCAGGTAGAAAAATAGAGTGGGAGCAAAACTGAGTATGATTGTGCTTTATTCATGTATTTATTACAAAGTATTAATCAAACCTATCAAAGTCATCATCCTCTGTTTCTGAATTAAACAGCCGCGCTAAATCAGACATGCCAATTTCCCCTTCTTCGCTGTCAGAGTCACTTTCCGTGCCAGGCGGCTCCTCAGAAATAATGCCGGCTTTTGCGAAAGCTCGAACAACAGTGCCAGCAGACACGTTAGTCCAAGCATCTACAATCCATCCGCAAACTGTGGCGTAACTTGCCCAGCGCTGCCTTCCACTTACCGTGGAATTATTCTGCCGACAGAATATGTTCGCTTTTATTATCGTGCTGCCTGCAGTTTAGATTGTTACAGTTAGTTCTGACGCAGGGCTGAAGCAGCTTTGCTGCTCTGCCTGCGCGGTGCAAAAGTGTGTCTGACGCACGTTGGGCAGAGCTATCCTATCCTTTCTTTGCCTTGCAGCTATATTTGCTGTCCAGCAGCAAAACCTCAATTTTTCCATCTCGAGCAGCAGCAGCGCATCAAGCGCGTCAGGTGCTTAAACGCTCCCGACACGCTGCTGCTCAAAACACGCTGCGAGACCTTTTGCTGCGCCTATATGCGTGTCAACCATTTGACTTTGCATGTAAACTCGCTGCTTCTGCTGCACCTGCTGCCTCCGGTTCACACCGATGTCGAGCGGTTGAATAACAGCGAGCACAGCGTTAATTTGTTTCACCATGTTTTTCACCTCAGCTGTGAGATGGGCACGCATGGAGTCACAGATTAACAGTGATGGTGATGAGTGGAAAAAAAACACCTGGTGTCCTTACATTCACCTCCCTCAGCCACTCTTTCATCATGAGTTCTGCATAAGGCATGGTGGTCTCAGAAGTCCGCAGTAACAACACACATAGGGCGCACCGCACATTTTGAGGGGAAAAAAAGACGTTTATATGCTCCTTATAGTCGTGAAAATACGGTATATAGCCAGTGAGCCTCTAACTGTTCATTCATTTCAATGATGAAGGTTTTCGATGGACGTTCAATGTTGAGGGTGGGCAGGGTTGTAGCTCTTGGTCTAGCGGCCGATGTGATCGTCTTCTCTGACTGGAAGAGCTGCAGTTTCCGTGTCCTCTCCAGGCCCTAAGAAGAAAATACACTTAAGACACAATTATAAGCTTAATCTCTTTTTGGAAAACCTATAAATGTTTTAGATTCTTTCTGCAGGAGTTCAGGGAGCCAGGTTCAATTAGTTTATTTTCAGTCAGGGTATAGTCACCTGGTACATGTTCTGTCCTGGTTTAAAGATTTCTTCAAGGATGCAGTCGTTTTATGCTGCTAGCTTACCAATCTACATTGTACCCCCACCCCACCCTGCAGCCAGTTAAATAGCTGCAGGCAAAGGGGAAGAACTACAAGCTGGGACTCCTCTTTTCAGGGAGCTTTGCATGTATGACTGAATGGGTTAAAACAGCTTTTTAAATATATTTTGTTCTAATTAATCTCTTAGACAATTAATCAAAGTTTTTTTTATCACGACAAGCATAAATGATAAAAATATAATTATAATGATTAAAAAAATCTGATAAATCCCTGTAGATGTGAATATCTTAATTTGGTTTTGATAGGATGCATGCAAACCTGTATACATAGTTTGTAGTAATCATATTTGATTTTCAGTTTATGTAAGGATGGATGTGCAGATGTCTTTTTGTAGGAAAATTCAGAAAAACCTGGATTCATTGATTATTTAAAATCTGCATCAATAAATTAAAAGCCCAAATTACTTTACTAGCAGCCTTGTTCCTGATTCCACCCTCAAATTAAATCTAGATTTCTGTTCTTAAAGTGTAAACTCGGCATATAAAAAAAAACATTGAGTTCAAGTTTGTTTGTGCAGGCAAAAAAATCAGATCAACTTAATTTTAGATAACATTATCAACTTAATATATATATATGATTAAATCAAATTATATCAGATAAATCTAACACTACGTAATTAAAACAAAGTACAGTGAAACATTGTGGTCTCTTACATCAAATTTCGAATAACAGGTAACATATTTTTCATTCGGGTTTTAAATACTGTTTTAGATTAGGCGTAATCTTTATTTCCTGTTTAGTCTCATTACATTTGATCCATCATAATTATTTGATGGACCAACTCTCCCTCAAGCCAAACAGAAGTCTGTTGACTCCAACCTCGAATTTCCTCTTGCATTCAAAGCAGTTTGAAGGGGAAATCAGCTTATTATTCTTGAATGGTTTAGTCATTCCTTTACTTTAATGAATACAATGGATCAAATTAAAATATTGTCTGCTGAAAATATACAATATATCCATTGGGCTATATGCCAAACTCCACTACTGTCTGAACTTCAGCCAGCCCCGGTAACTGTGGGCAGACCCACCTGGTTCAATCAGTCAAGTAATGAAAGACAATAAACACAGGAGCTGGATGAATTTCAGGGGGTTGTGGATTTGGACATGTAGCCCATTGCAATCTCAGAAAGGTGAATATTGCATACTGCTTCAGTTCATTACTGGCCTGCACTCCAATATTTCAAAGGGTGTAAAATAAAACTTTACTGTTTACGGCTAACTTTGTGCGACTATGATGATGAAAAGAGAAAGGAGATGTGAAGAAAAAATGTGGGTTAATCATTAACAAAATTACAATAGGATGATTAATCAGAGATATTATAATGCCCTATTTTCCTGCTATCGAACAATATGTGAAGCAAGATAATGGTCTGATCTATTATGCATTATAGATTAATCTGACTGATTTTAAAGCTGTCTGCTGTCATTTGCTTTTATCTTACAGACCACAAAGTTGCTAAGACTGTTAATGATGCAATCCAGCATCCACCTCCTGAGGAGAACTCAGAAAAGACTGACAAGGGAGAAAGTTCAGCAGAGAAGTCTCCAGTTGAGGGCTTGGGGGTTGAAGTTGATCCAGCGGAAGACGGGATGGACGATGACGAAGAGGCCGATCCGACGAATAAACAAAGGAAATTTAGCTTGGTGTGCAAGGAGTGCGGCAAGAGCTTCAGCCAGCGCGAGATGTTCAACCTCCATCGGCACTTTCACGCACATGAGGATGAGTTGCTGCCCCTGACCTGCAAAGAATGCGGCCTTACCTTCCAGCACCGCAGAAGCCTCATCAAACACAGGAACGAACACAAGGAAAAAGAAGAGAACCTGGAGACTACAAAGATGGAGGACAAAACGCGGGCGCCGTTTAGATATCAGTGTGCAGAATGCAAGAGGATATTCTCTACAGTAGGTAAACTGAGGGACCATGATTGCAACCATGCATCAGAAAAGCCTTACCACTGCCCTCTTTGCCGCCAAGATTTCCAGTTCAAAGTGTCTGTCACCAAACATATGATGACCCATTCCCGTGAGTGCGCCTTTAAATGCCAAGAGTGCAGTCAGACCTTTCCAAACATCATGTCCCTGCGCTTCCACCAGAAATCCCACGGTGCTCTCAAGCCGTACGAGTGTCCAGAGTGCGGCATGGTTTTCAAACACTACTCCGTCATGGAAGACCATCGGCGCAAGCACGTCGACAATAGCCGCTCTCACCTGTGCAACATCTGCGGCAAGACTTTTAAGTACAGCAGCCTCCTCCAACAGCACCAGTATCTACACACGGGCCAGAAGCCTTTCCGCTGCCCTGAATGTGGCAAAACATTTGCCTTCGCCCAAAACATGAAGGCGCACTGCCGCCAGCACAGATTACAAGAAACCAACTCATTAAGCGAGCCACCTAAAAAACAGCCTGTTAGGTCTGGACCCGAAGTGGCTGAGGGTCCCGAGAAGGAGAACTCTCATACTAGCCAGGATACGAAACGCACCTTCTGTTGCCCTCTCTGTCCCCAGACCTTTCACGTTCCAGCTAACCTCAGAGCTCACCTGCAGTTCCACGAGGAAGAGTACGAAAAGCTGGAAAGGACACCTCAATCTCCGGTGGTGACCAACAAGCATTGGGACAAGGGGCACACCTGCCCTCACTGTCCTAGTATTTTTCGAGAGGAATCTAGTTTAAAAGGGCATCTGTTGAGTGTCCACAAGACAAATACAATGCATTTGGAAAGGTTGCCCACACCAAAAAAGCAGTTAGCTCAATTAAGCAGTGATAACACACAGGGAAAGCTGTTTAATGTAAAACCCTACAAGTGTTCAGAGTGCGGAAAAACTTTCCGGCACCGCTCAGTGTTAGAGCTACACATGCGCATACATTCCAAGGACAAGCCTTACCAATGCAAAGTGTGTGGCAAGGGTTTCAGATTCAGCAGCTACTTGCAGCAGCATCTTATTATCCACACGGGCAAAAAGCCTTACAAATGCCCCGATTGTGGAAAGGATTTTGCCTTCTTGCAGAACATGAGGACTCACCAGAAGCTGCACCAGGAGAAGCCTTTCCGCTGCACGAGCTGTCGCAAAGGCTACAGCGACGAGACCCAACTCCAGCACCATATGTTGTCCCATAACGGAGACAAACCGCACAAGTGCGACCTCTGCGACAAGAGCTTCGGATTGGCCTATCTGCTGCGAGACCACATGAACACCCACACCGGGGAGAGGCCGCACCAATGCGAGGAGTGTCATAAATCCTTCTCCTGGTTCAGTAGCCTGCTGGTTCATCAGAAGATTCACGCACGCAAAAAGCAAGCTTTAAGCCACTACAGCTCCTACCCAGTTGGTGCCCGGATGAGGGGAAGGGGGAAGAGGGGAGGGAGGCTAGTGTGGGGGTTGTCCAGACCATCTGGGATCTCAGAGGTGGTTCCTCCTCCTCAACATCACCTCTACCCAGTTTCTCCTCACAGAGATTCCGAGTTGCACAGACAAGCGCCGCAGCAGCCCTCTCTGTCTCGCATGGATTCACAGACAAGGCAACAAAGTGAGGCATGGCCGTCTGAGCCGCATCGTCAGCCGCTGCAGTGGAGCGTGGATGCTAGAGAGGTGCCCCCACTTCCCACGCAGCACCATCCTCAGGCTCCACAGTATGACGTTTCAAAACAGCCGGCGCTTCAACAACAGCAGCAGCATCATCAAAGGAGTCCAGGCTGGGCGGATATGTCGTTATTGGGACCTGGGTTGGCTCCCAACTTGGACTCCCAGTTGAAGGAGAACACTTCTTCTGTTCTGGCCTCTCATATGCCAAGGAAATCCAGCCCATCAGTGGCAACTGAGATTGCGCAACAAAGACAGCATAAACTCTCTTTGTGGAGTAACACTCCAACATCCACAGGCTTGGCTGCAACAAGCTCCTTGCAGCATGATTTTTCCGTTCCCTCCTCCTACATAGACGGAGCTGCGCTGTGGAGTGTCCGCCCCACTCCACTTACAAACTCTCAGAGCTCCCCAAACAAGCTCGGCCAAGACCTGCAGCTGCCACGGTGGCCGGGCGGCCCAGAGCCGTCCCCGCCACCCAAGAAAGAAGAAAGGCTGTGGGACATCAATAGTCCTTCAGTTTTGTCTTCGACTGTTACTCAGCCAGAGAAGGCGTGGAACGGCTGCGAGCCGCAAAAACCATGGGTTTCCGGTCTCACAGGTGCCCCACCCTCAGCTCAAATAGACCAAAGCAACGCCATGCCCATCTCAGCTCCTGGTTCTCACGGGGTTACCAGCAACTTGTGGGACATTCAAACCCCTCCGGGGATTTCAAAGACTGTGAACTCTGTGGATAAGTTGGTAAATAACCAAGAGTTTCAGCTGCAACAAAAACAGGTCTCGCCCGGCTGGAGTGGCGTGCAGACCCCCACGCAGAAGGTTCCCATATCCATCCAATATGAGCCTCATCGTTTCAACCAGGGGGTGGGGACCCCCGTCTGGGGCTTTCAGAACAACTCCGTCGGACCTCAGTCTCTGCTCTCCAGCCAGCTCAAACCAGGTGGCGGACAGGAGTTGCAGCAGCAACCGATGGCATCAGCCGCTCAGATCATCATTAATCAACCTTCTCCTTTTTTCTCTCCTCCGCTCGCTCCTCTTCCCCCCTTGGCTTTGCCTAGCCCTCACCCCCTCCACTCGGTCCCGGTCGGTGCAATACCCAGACCCCCACACCCAAACATATTTTTCACCCCACAGCCGGTCATGAGCGAGAGGCCACACATGCCGCAGACCCTGCCCCTACCTCAGCTCCCCCCACAGACGGAACCTCACAAGCTGGGAACCCGTCTGCCATTTCCCCCGGAGCGGCTTCTCCACTGCATGATATGCGGACTCTCCGTTCCCCGGGAGCTGGATCTACAGATGCATTACCTTCAACATGCGAAGGGGGAGATATGACACTTCTACACTAGTAACAAACCTTAGTTCTGTTTTTTATACTTGTCTGTAAAACCTCATTCATTTGACACTTTGCTGTTGAGTGGATGATGATTTAAAACAAACAAAAAAAAAGGTGTAAGTGAAACCAGACACAATTTGCACATTTGATTTTGAAATTTGATGTAAGACTGTGCAGCGTGTTTGACCAGAGGATGTATATGTCTATAATTGGTTTCGCCAACTTTTCAGATCATTTCAGGGGTGCGGATTAATGAGGTTCTGCAGGCTACATTTCATGTATTGCTGATTATGTTAGAATTAGATCTTAGTAATTTTCTAGTTCTGTCCATATGTCTTGAACCATTTGTACTGTGTTTCTCCATGTACAGTATACAGTGTGCCTTTTATGAGTACAGTCTGCATGTCTGCTGTCTTGGTATTCTAGGCCCTAGTTTGTGCTTTCTAAGTAGACTGAACAGTGTGACCTCAACCCGTCACAGGCAGCGCAACTTGTTTAAAGGTGCTGAAGAGTCTGGAATAGGGGGGCTGTGAGGTAAAATGTATTTTAAAGTATGCATTGATTGGTAAAAGAATTTATACCACTTGAAGTTTTTCACTCTGTCTTTTCAACCAGAAACTTTGATGTATCTTATTGGGGTTTTATGTGAGAGAGTAACACAAAGCAGAAGAAACCTGGCCGGAAAAATGGATACATGTTCTATTTATTAAGTTTTTTATTTACATATAATCTGGAACTTGTGCATTCTATTTCATCCCTTTGAGTCAGTGCTTATGACTTTAATTTTTCTTTAACTCCATCCCACCAAGTCTGATCAACTACCCTGTTCCTGCTGTCCCCACAGTATGATACCGTCACCACCATGTTTCCTGCTGCTGGATGATTTCTATACACTCTGCGTTAATCCATCACATAAAATCTCAGTGCAATACATTGTTTTTTGGCTGTTCTATGACTAGATTAATAAATTGAAGGGGTATAAGTCTGTTTTGCAAAGCACTCTACATATTAAAGCTGCTGGCCTACAACTATGATCTCTTCCTTGGGTCCAAATGTCTCACCAAATACAATGGAAAACTGAATGAAATACAAACTTTCTCTACCGGAACTAATAAATGTATCATTTAGAAGGTACCTTTACATTAGTTTCCAGTAATAATCTGGCAATCTAGCTGCAGTTTAGCAATTAATCATGGCACTGTTAAGTTTTGTAATAAAACAGACTTTAATTTGGGATTTTTTGTCTTTTTTTTTTTTTTTCTACAAAGGCATTGAACAGGTCCTACACTTTATTCCAGTTTTTCCTGCTTAGATTTAATCTAGAAATGTACCTATATTAATAAAACCAAATCCCACCTTGAAGTACTTCAATGTGTTTCTGTGAATTATCATTTATTTCCATGACTGTAAGTTTAGTTGACTTCACGTTCTCATTTCCCCATATTAAAAAAAAAAAAAAAAATGGAGTAGCTTCCCGGGGAGAATATAATCCAGAATACCTTTTGTTATTGCTGTACAATAAACACAGGTCTTTGTAAAAACAAATACCAAACCCTCTTTCCTTTGCATTCATTGGTTCCATAAATTTGCCTTTCTACCTCCACCCACCCTTTTTAATCATCACTGGGTTTTTTCCCCCCTGTCATATCAGATTGAATAAAACCTTTTACTATATTGTTTGCTTCAATCTTTCACATCTATGTTAAGATTTAAAACCTGAAACTAAAGATATTTTTGTTTACTATTTTACCCGGTTGTACTTTTAGTTTTAATGGGTTTGACCCTTAAATACTGAATAGGGTTGACTTTTGATGAGAAAAATAATTTAAAATGCCATGAAATAGTCACAGCTTTATATATACTTTGGTACGTAGTAAAAAAAGATATGACGAGTTCATTTGCAGTAACAAACATAAGAAAACATACTTTTATCAGCAGCATCAAGCAAAGAGTAAATTACACACCTCAGCTCTTTTTTTTGTTTTTATGACTTTTATCTGTTTTTGCAAATGAAGTCTTCATATATTAATCATGTAGTTAAGCAATAGCCCAAATTAGAATTAAAGCAGCCACGAGGTTCATTTGGAAACTAAAACCAAAAAAGACAGAATGTTTATTCCATTTATCCCAGCTAACAGGGTCAGAGAAAAAAAACAAACATTTTTATTTGAATTGAGGCTCATCAGACATCTAATTGACATTGATATTTTATATCTAGGCCACATTGAAAGCTTAAAAAGGTTGTATCAGCACAAGAACCGTGATTTCATTGTGAATCTGCATCATTGATTTGATAGGCTCTATTTCAAGCCTTGTTTTGTCATTATTAAAAAAAATACTATTTTACAAATTACGCTTATTATAGAACCATTCAAAATTCTGTAAAATTTGATAAATATACAACTTCTAGCTTAATTAGTACTCCTACTTATTGAACTCTACATATTGTAGGGTTCCAACATTAAAGTTGATTTTAACTTACCTTATGGGTTAATACAATTAATTGTGAAACAGAAAGTAAAGGGTCAACATTATTAATTAATACTTCCTCTGAAATCTGATGCAAGCTGCTTTGGTAACTAAATACTTAGATGTTGCTTTGATATACTGACTGAAAGGAAACTTCATGCACACAAAAACATTGTTAATGTGAGGATGAATACATGAGCCTGTTTAAAGCAATGATTTACACATATCAATATTTGGTGCTAATTTAAATAGAAAATTATTGCATGATTTGAATAATGACGTGACAGACACTCTCTGCTCTGCCTTAATTCTCCATTGATTTTGATCAAATTGGATGATTTGTCATTTGCATAAAAAAAGGTCTGATAATTTTAATGATACGATTTTTTAACGACTTCTCGAGTCAGTGAAGCAAAGATAATCGCTTTCCAGTGTACTTTGTAAAAAAAAAAAGCTGTCTTCTAAAGGGACATGATATATATATATATATATTTATTATGGTGGCTCCCGTTTTATTACAGACATATTTGAAAAGAATCTTCTTAACATTTTCAATATTGAATTTACACAAAAAAACTTAGATTGTTTAATTAATTATGTATTGATTTATTTTTTTGCATTAAACACTTCATGTAACTTTAATCTCACACCGCTTCAATAGGAGGCATTGTTGAGTCAGTAAAAAAAACAACAGAAGAAGAAGGAGAAGAGGCGAACTACCGGCTGAAATGCGCATACGCAAAACGGCTAGCTGTTTATTAACAGTTGCTTTAATTGTGGTGCGTGTTTATATTAACGCTGCACTGTAATAACTTGCATTTTGTAATATCTCTCTATATATATCTATATATAATTATTTCTAATTATTCCTGACTACCTGATTTGTTTGGTCATTATTAAAGACAGGCGCGTTTAATCCACAGTTTACCCAACTGGCTAAGCTTCGTTAGTGCGGCTAACGTTAGCAAACAGCTACAGCAAGATGGACGAGCCTGCTGTTCCATTAGCAATCAAAGATGACACTCAAAGCTCGACCTACAATGTTAAAGACGATGAAAACAAGGACCGCAAGGAGCCCGCAGACAGTAAGTGTCCTCTCACTGTTATGCTTCATCTTTTTATTTTCCATTTTCTGTACTAACTTAAGATCTTGCACATTTCAACCCGTTTATATTGAACTGATGCTTTCGTATATCAGAAAACATAAAACGTTGCTAGCTCGATTATATGGATAACGATGAGGGTTTATTACACTAGAATATGATGTTATTCTCTCCTGAATTAAAACCTCCCCACAGTATTTTGCAACTCTTTTCTTCATGTAAGATTTTCCTCTAAATTGATCAACTTTCTGGCTTTTTAATGTCACCTGTATCAGACTTTTCCATCTTTTCTTAAAGTTGACCTTTTCCTTTTAAATATGAATAGTTTTGTACTCATTATTAGTGCAGATATGCCATAGATTTTCCCTTTATCTACTATAATAATAAGCACTCCCTGTATCTGAGTTGTCGTTTATAAATAATGTTGCAAAGATCTTGGAGCAATTTGGTATGTAAAAATAATTCAATCTATATTGATAAATTATTAACAGTTCAATTACATAAATCTGAAATTAAAATATTGTTTCACATTGTCATCTTTATAATATATGCTACATCTGCCTGTGTGTTGTCCTAGTGTGAAAAGGTGATCTAATTGTTATTCTAGTGATATGAATTGCCCTTTATTATTGAACTATAGAGATTATTGACTTGCTGTATGATTTCCATCAACATTGTATCATGAAAAATTATGACATTAAAGTTACTATGAAGATAAAGCAAAACAGGAACCTATCAAGTCGCTGAATGAGAAAACAAGAATAATAAAATCTGTGAAACGTTTGTGATTTAATAAATGATTAAATAATTGATAATAATAATGATTGAACTTTATCTTACAATGGGGAAAGTCACCGTCTGCATTTATCCCATCCTTTTGGGGATCATTGGGCTGCCATTGTGCGGCACCCGGGGAGCAGTGGGAGGTTAAGGGTTTTGCTCAGACACTCAGAATGGAGCAGAAGCACACTGCTCTAACCACTAGGCCAACACTCCCTCTATATTTCTACATTTGTAATGTACAGAGATAAAAATCTGTCATTAGAGTATGTGAATGAAGTGGACTCACCGTTTTTCGTGTAATCAGCATTCAGTGCTGGTTGAGGCTTTGTGCTGTTATCAGTACTTTTAAAGTGTTGCTCTCAGACGCATGTTAAAACCTGGCTCTATGAAGTTTATTAACTCACAAAGGTTGCGTGATGCCCTCTACTTTTTTATCTTCACCTTCTGAGCAGAGAAGAGAAGTTGCTGCTGCTCCACCATGCAGCAACGCTAAATGGGCACTATTTAGGTGATAACCTAAGGAGTTTATTGGGTGTTTATATTTACAAGCAGAATTGGATAAAGTTAATTCTGCATCCTTTTTCCCATTAAACAGAGCTGAGTTTTGTAGGTCAAAATCCTCCTGTAGGCTGTGTGTAAATGTAAACGAGAGTTCAGAAAAAAAAGCAACAGTGACCGTTAGGGGTGTGCAAAATAATCGTGATGATGATGCATCGTGATTCTAATTTTCTTGATGCCAAGAATCGATTATTAATTAAAAAAAATGAATAAATAAAATTGCATGAATGGTTGGCGAACATCAGCCAAAAACAAGTGCAATACCACTTCCAGTCCAGTAGATGTCGCTGCAAATGTGTTGATGCACGCTGCCTTGTGTCACAAGCATTTTCGGCCGTGGGATACTGTGCCGAGTCATTCAAAAACAAAACATGGAGGAGAAAATATGGCAATGCATCGCAATAATTCAAGTATCGTGATGCATCGTGATAGAATCGCATCGTGGCCTGTGAATCGTGATTCGAATCGAATCGTGACTTCTTTGGCAATACCCACCCCTAGTGACCGTGATATCTTGCAGATGCACCATTGTTGTTTTGGAGGATAAACACTCCCGCGAGTTCTCGAATAGGCGGCCCCTTGCACTTTGACGGGAAACTGCTGTGCATCCCTAGAAATTCCAGACCGACGGTGCAGAAGCATACCAGCAAAAGGTTCGCCACCAGACCCAAGCAGAAGTATAATCTCACCTTTACAGCTCCTAATCCCTGTGGCTTCATGGTGGACCTCCAGGGGTCAGTGGAAAGCATAACCATGGGGGAGAGTGGCGGCCTGGTGGTTAGGGCATTGCACTTGCACTTATTTTTTTTTACCATCAGGCCATCTTTAATCCATTTCTTTATATAGGGAAATTACAGCTGATCACTATTGTAGATCATGGATCGGAAGCATGACCTAAAATGGGTTACTTACTTTCTGTTGGTGGAGCCACTGTAGTGTAAAGACATGACAATGCATATCCTTTGTTTAGATTTTTTTGTACGCTTTGTTAAATAACCTAAATGATAAAAAAAATTTCTCAGGTCACATTTTGTATCTTTTCAGTCAGAAGCACATAAAGTACTTTTCAGAGTTAGCATTTTGTTAAAAATAAAACACTTCTGAGCTATATATAT